TGGTCGTCTCTGTGGACAGTTACTTGAGGTCCCCAGGCCAGTCTGCTGAGAACAGTGATTAACATTATGCTTTCAGACACTGCCTGGAAATGATTAATGTGTGTGTGTGCACGCGTGCGTGCATGTGCGTGTGTGTGTGTGTGTGTGTGTGTGTGTGTGTGTGTGTGTGTGCATCTTTTGCATAACTGCTCTTAAAGACGACCACTGTTATCTTAAGAGCCCTTATATAAAGATCTCCATGAAAATTCATTTCAAAGCTGAATGTTATGGAATATAATTGTCTTAGTGGAATGTTGTGCTTCCTTTTAAAAGAGAAATGAGTTATATAACCTCCTTCTTCCTCCCTCTCTCTCTCTCCATCCCTCCCCCTCTCTCCAGTTTTTATTTAAGCTGCCAGGAAGCTCAGATTTGAATTTTATCTTCCACTGAGGTTCCGGTCTCAGCCTGGTATTTCTAACAGTCCTCTCTCCCCTTGCTCATTCAGTTCTTGCACTCACAGAACTGTCCTGGGGGCTCTGTCACCTCCGGGTGCTTCACTGGGGATGCTCTGGGAAACTGACATAGCATACATGAAGTGAAGGACAGATCACATCCCCACTGTCTGAGGTTCTATTGTACAACCTGGGGAGGGATGTGAGGTACCCAGTGGCCAGTTAAGTTAGAGTCTTTTAGGTAGAAAGGCTTTGCTTAGAAGACGCTGAATGTCAAGAACACTAGGGGGAACCATCACATCACGCCCCTCCCTAAGGCTTCTGCAAAGGGACCAGGAAACCAATCCACATAAACATAGCCCGTTACCTCGAAATCGCTCAGTGAATGTGGGCTCTGCCATGCATATCTGTGATTGTCCTGTGGCCTAGAGAAGCAAGCTGGAGCTCTGTACCCTCAGGCTACAGAGAAGCTCCAAATACTTGCTGCCAGCTGATGGGTCAATCATCTACCATCTATCTACCTGAAGCCTACTAAGGAAGTTTTTAAAGAGCCAGAAACCTGGCTGCCTATAAGGACAGAGCAGCAGGAGTCTGCCACTGGGGCACCTGCCTCTGAGTGGCCACCCTGTTCCTGCTCTACGGTTGGCCCCACAGTTGGACACAGGAAAGTGAACTCACAGGCCCATCACCCGTGCAGACCTTCCTAAGGATACTCACCCTCAAGGGTATGGTCCAGAGATGATCTCTGGATGCCACTGCCCAAGGCGGAGGCAGGGACAGGAAGCTCACCCCCAACTAATTTGTGGAGTATTGCGTCTCACAGACTTGTCATTCAATGCACAACTTCTCTGCACAGCCCACACAGCTAATTCCTGTACTATATTTCTCTCAGTTTTCCTCCTCCACCCACACTTCTGCTGACTTCTCTCTGCACCAGGGAGACGGAGCAGCTGAGGAAACAGGAGAGTGGTGGGAAAAAAAAATTGCAAAGTGTTTAGAGCCCACCCAACCTGAGAAGAGCATTCACAGAAAAACAGGAAGAGTAGGAGACCCTCCATCTCACACACAAGCTAAGGGTTGTCACGCCCTCCCACCCACCTCCAGTCTCAACAGGGGCTGACTGGTGGGACCAAGCTTTGGTGCCCACATGAAAACAAAAATGCAAAATTTTAGAGGAATCATGAAAGAGGCGGCATTGCTCAGCTATTTCAGATACCCATGTCATGGAGCAGAGGGGCACAGTAGGCTCACTCATTCCATTCAAACACCCCCACCCCCCGAGAATTCCACCAGCATTATTGGTCTTAAATTAGAGTATCTAAGAGGCCCTCACACTGGGAGAAGGAACACAGGTCCTCAGATGGATGACTTCACTCTGGCAACTGATATGAGAGTGCCCGGCTTGGAGCACAATCAATGAATCAGTGCCCGCCCTCCATGAGTGCAAGTGTGTGTGTGTGTGTGTGTGTGAGTGTGTGGGGGGGGCATGAGTGTGGGCGGCAAGTGTGTGTGTGTGTGTGTGTGAGTGTGGGGGGGCATGAGTGTGGGCGGGATTCGATATTACTCATTCTTCTTTCCCTTTTTTTCATTTCAACTCTTTTCCTGCAGCTCTCAGAGTTTTTAGGGCTCCTTCTCCCTCTCCCCGAGGATCTAGGGTGGTGAAAAGACAGAGATGAATACAGTTCTTGCTCTCCCTCTCTTTGCTGGAGGTGTCAGCTACTTAGACGACTTTGGGCAAAGACCAAAGGAGATGGAGTCATCCCATTTGCTCTCATTCGTTAACAGACCTTCGAGGATGTCTACACAGATGAATTTTCAGTCTGCTTTATGATCCAGGCTCTGGTAAACAGACCGTCGTGAGAAATATGTCACCTCTGGTCTATTTTGTTCTTTTTCAGGAACCTCTAAATTAATTAATTTTTCTACAAACTTGGAACATGCATAGGGGTTATATAACCCATGGTTAAATGGAATTCTATATGCTTGTTTCTATCAGTGACCCACAGAAAGGTTTTCTGCTAAGAGAGTCATCTTTTCTCCTGGTTTTCTATCCAAACACTGGAGTGAACTCATCCACAATCCTTCTCTACTTTGTTGGCAGCTTATTATTTTGAGATTATCCTTAACGCTGATCCAACCATTTTAATGGTCAACATTGTGTATTTGATGCTAATTGATATTTACCCATTAAAGAACACACACACATTCATTGTGCAGCCACAGTGCCAGGTACTGCCTCAGACACCAGGGCTACAGTTGTACATGCTAATCCCTTTAGGAAGTCAAAAGAAATGGGGGAGGCCAGACAGCACTCAGCACAGTCCTTCCAAGAGACGGCACCATCTTAACCATTGGCCACTATGCATGAAGCCAAATGAGGTTTTAATATGACAGAAAGTAGGAATTATTGGTAGATGAGATAAAACGATTACTGTTCTTTAAGTATTGATTGCACGATCTGACTAGTTCTCCAAAGCTGGCCTCATAAAGATTAAGCTACATATAATATTAGATAAATAGTATTTTACAGGCTTTTGAAATACCAGGCTCTGAAGTGATGTTCTTTCTGTTAGAAGATCTAAGACACTTGGCCACTTTCAAAAGCAGAATTTCCTTTGCCTCTTGGAGTCTTAGAACAGAGAACCAAAAGACACAGGCTATCCTGAGTCTCTAAGATTAAGGATGAGTTATTTCAGAGTCTAATGAGGCCAATCTGGGGTACAAAACACGAAGGCTTTGATAAGCAAGAGACGGCCCTGTTGTAGTAGCTCAGCAATAGATTTGGCGGGGGGGGGGGGAAACAAGGTAGTAATCTAAAGCCAAGAAAATTGTGCTTGCTGCAGAAGATTATCTACTTACTGTCTATAACTACACTTATGAGATGACGATGCAATTCTCTAGATGAGATCGTTCGCTACTAGGTCTCAAGGTTTTCAGAATTTTGCTGATTGACATATCCAACTGTGCTGGAATGATTTATGTAAATGCCAGCTGGGGATGAACGACACAACAGATGAGTCATTTCAAAGCACTTCTGAACGGGCTGATCTTTCCTGAGAACTGGGTCTCCTCATGGAGGGTGGCAGAGACCACCCTAGGACTCAGGGTTTCCTGAAATAGCATCTTCAGAGCATCAACGACCTTGTAGAGAGGGTTGTAGCCTCCCTAAGTAATCTTACCCAGGGGTTAAGGATTTGACTATTTAAATATGACAAATCTGTGATTGAATTCTGATTGACACTCAGTAACTGAGGAACTTTTCAGCATCCTTGTGAGGACGAACTGAAGCAACATACCCAAAGCACCTGGGCCAGTGGCATCACAGAGAAAGTATTTAAGTCTAGGACTAAAAACAAGGCTCTGGCTCAGCACAGTGCCCTCTCAGACTGTTTCATAAGCATACTGAGATCACAACACGCTTGTATGAGCTCTCAGACTGACACAGATTAGTGGCTTTGCATAGCAATCAACCAACCAATATGAAAAACGTAATGTATAATAGTGTAATGAGTCCTGAAGCTCACCTCCCAGCAGTCAGAACACAAGCAGGCAGGCTTCTGCTTGTACGTTCACCACATCTCACTTTGACAGAAGTGCCTGCGTCCCACCCTTCCTCATGTATCCAACCCCAATATACATGCCGATCATTATTTAGCAATGCCTGTCTTCAACCTGAAAGAAACTATAATTATTGTTCAGTCGCATGAAACCTTTTATCATAACTAAATAAACAGCTGCTTGAGCATGGTGCTAATCAAGAGCTTGAATATGCTTTATTAAAAGGTTGTTTAATTTCATGCCATTACTCCTAACTTCCTGGCAAAATAGTTTATCTCAATAAATGTGGTTAAAAAGAGAAACAGAAACGCTGCTTATCAAAATATAAATATCAGAGTAATCAGAATATTCATCATGGCATGTGAAGGTGCTTTCTATATCCAGGACTTCAGAGGTTAAGGAAATATCACCTCATAGATGGGTTAATATTTACTAACTGCCTAACAGATATGTGTGGTCCTTTCTTGATGCATTTCAGCACCATCGTTTTAGTGAGAGAGCCTCACATTTCTTTTATTCTAGAAGAATTTCTATATTCTTCATGTTGTTGGAGAGGCAGGTCTGTCTCCGTGATAAAATATGTGTAATTGGCTCTTTTATGTCCAGTATATTGTGGAGACATGCTAAATTTACATCATATGTAAGCTCACTATTAGTTTTTAGATAGGTGGAGCCTATTCTGATAGAGCTAGTGAAAGTGGCACAAAATGTGCATAAATCCTGACTAATGACTCAAGTTAAATATACCTCAAAGAGTATTCCATCTTATTAGAATCCACATCCATTTTTCTTACAAGGGAGTTATTATTCTGCACTGTAGCATGTGTTTTATTACAAACGCAGAGTTCATTGATGAATAGTGATAGCGCTGCAAATCAAGTCAACAGCTTAATTGGCTCAGCAGGGTTCAAGGATGCCTTTCCTGCTGGCTAAGCAGAAGCTCCCATAGCCTGGAAGCTGGAGCATGGTTCCTGGGCTCCTGGCAGTCTTACTGTGGAGAGGGACCCTTACCTCAGGCCCTCGCCCTCAGGAGAGTTTTGTCTGCAGTACTCCAGAGTGTAGGTCTCGGTGGCCTCGGGGTTAGCAGGCCGCCATCTGACCGTGGCCGTATTCCAGCACACGGTGCAATCTTCGGCATGAATCACAGGCGTGGAAGGTGCTGAAGAGTGAGAAACCAGTTGGTCACAGAGACATGCCAGCTCTGGAGGGGATACTTAGGTATGGGTTTATTTTTAATTTTTGCATCATTATCCTGAGTTAAAAACTAAAACAAGATTTTTTTTAAAAAAAAAATAACTTATATAACTAAATGTCTCTTTCCCTCCTTCTCAGCATTACATATTGTGAGATTCTATCTCAGCCCCAAGCAGTCCCTAACAGTTGTTTTCCATAAAGCCTACCTGTTTTCTTTATATAGCTACTACAAAAACGAACACATTCTTCCCCTTTTCCTTTTATCCAAAGGGCAGACATGATTTTGTCCCCAGTAGGGGGTCAGTACAGGTTTGGGTGGGAGGACTGTCCCTTTTTATGTTTTAGGTTATTGAGACAGTGTCTCATGTAGCCCAGGTTGGCCTGGAACTTGCTATGTATCTTGAGCCCCTGTCTCCACCTCCCAAATGCTGGGAGTGTATGTAGGAGCCACAATGCTGAGCCAAATATTTGTTTTTAAAGGCAAGAAGACAGGATACAGGACTGATGGGTAGAAATAAGCTTCTTCCTCCCTGAGGCAGCTGTAATGATCTTAAAGGCAAGACAGCCCTGGACAACACTACTATCTCATATCGCAGTTCCTTGTGAAAAGACTTCACCATGAGAATATATTTTTAGTTGAACAACACCTTGTGTTTTTCTGCATCTGGATAACGAAGCTCAGTCTTATTAGCTTGCAAGGGTTAGCTCCATATGCTAACCCATTTTAAAATGATGTTTTTCCTCATTTTCAAGCTTAAGGAATAACAAAGATCTTACAGTGCCCTACACCACACCTTCATGTCCACTCATTGTTTCTATGAGAAGACTCTGTCCCAGTTAACACGTGATGTCCCACTGATCATTTGAAGCATTCTGTGCAGATATCAGCTCTAGGGACCCATCCCTGATCCTGCCCTTACTTACCCTGTCTGTCTCGGTACTCCTTTGAGTGCTCTCATGATGATCTAGACTCTTGCCAAACCTTCCTAATAATATTCTGCCTTTTTTAACTGCTCAGCTTAAATCTGATCATCTTGCAGATAGGAGCTCAATCACGTTGCTATTATTATTGTACTTGAGGAATGATCCTAAGGCTTCATGCTGCTGGATGGATGCTCTACCACTGAGCTCATCCTAGGCCCCACCTCGGTCTCGGTCATGTATCCCAACATATAATCCATAGCTAGTGCTTCCCAAATACTTAGTGGCTGATCTCATAAGTCTAGGAAGAATTGAGTAGTACCTCATAATAATTAGCATCTGCTTACCTGTTCTAAAAATTGCTCTTTCACTGGGCAGACTACATCCGGTGAAGTTGATGGCCATCACCCACACGTGATAACATCGGTCAGGCTCTAAGTCTTCAAAAACGCAGTAACTTTCCTTCACAGTCAATCTGTATTCTTCTACCAATTCTAGCATGAGACACAACTATGAGTTCAAAGGTGACTTCTAAAGTAAACTAAAAATTAGTCATTAGAAAAAGTAGTCTATGATTTTTGCAGAGGACTCAAACTGATGACTTTACAAATACTATTGTATGGTAATTATCTATGTGATATGTTATTTATGATTTAATAAAGATTGCCTAAGGATTCAGAAAGCAAAGTCAGCCATAGCCCATAGAAGAGAGGCACACATCTTTAATCCCAGCAGCCAGAAGTTAGGAGGTTGTGGTACACAGTTTTAATTCTAGGACTCAGGATTAAGAGGGAGATGGATCTCTCTGAGTTCAAGGCCACCCAGGGATACATGAAATTGAATCAGTCTAAAAGTAACAGATCATACACCTTTAACCCCAGTACTAGAGGGTATAAAATATAGGAGCAGGTCTTTAGTATCAGTGTGAGGCAATCATCCTCCAGCCACTTTGGGGATTCTACAGCCATGCTGAGGAGAGACAGCAGGAATGGCTCATTCAGTCTGAGATAGTGGTGAGAGCTAGTGGCCTGCTGCTTTGCTTTTCTGAACTTCAGCTTGAAATTTGAACCCCAATATCAGGCTCTGGGTCTTTTATTTTCCATGTTACAATTATCTCTTTAGGGTATATAAGAAAGCAATAGCACTCTAAAAACTGATACTTAGAATGATAAAGTATTACTAGTGAACATTTATCACAAAATAATAGCATGTTAGGACATGTCTGAAGCTCATAATCCATGATTAAAGTAAGTTATTTCAAAAGCAAATGTCAAACTTGTATAGTGTTTATGTCACTTTAAATTTCAGTAAGACAGTCTCAAGAAAACCCTCAAGAGCCAATGCCAACCTTCCATGGAAGCCCATCCCTGGAAAGGACAGCTAGGAGCTTCTGCTTAAGATTGCAGAGCATCTTTACAGACTAGTCAACAAGTTTGCTACTCAGTATGACGTTCGAGGGTTCAGATCCTGACAGTTTCACCATCTACAAGCTTTAGGGACTGACCTAACTGGGGTGACAGGAATAAAGACATGGTTGACACATGGCCACATGTACAGAAAACCTGGGATTTGGTGGGTCATACATTGTGATGGAGATGCACCACCATGAGTAGCAACTGGAAACTTAGCATGTTTATTCTACACAACTGAGCAAGGAGGCGGGCTTAGCTAATCTTGGTAGGTCTTTATGGGGGCAGTCTCAGGCTGTAAACATCAGGAAGAAGAAAGTTAGGGTTGATAGTTTTCTTCATACACTGGTCAATCATTCCTAAACACACACACTTGGACCATAGGAAGGCTTTGCCACCCCTCTGAGCCTCACCAAAGGAAGGCTTGGCCATCCCCATACGTCTGAGGCATTAGGGGCCTTGGCATGGGTATGCTTATGTCAACAACATACATTCACTCAAGATTTTATTCTTTCCTTACACATTCACCCAGGTCTTCTTCCACACCCCACATTTCATAATCCCTTTAACTATATATTTCTACTTTTAAATTTGATAGGATAATGAGCTATTATAAGAAGTTGAAATCAAGACTTTTTTTCCTTTGAAAATTTCTTGAATGTTTATCCTTTAAATATTTTATAGTTAAATTGTCTTTTTACTTGTTAGTGGTTTGGAGCTTTTTGATGTAGGGCCTCACTCTGGAGCACAGACTAACATGACATGTAGCATTCTCCTGTCTCCACCTCTAGAGTCTGGAGCTATAGGTTCAAGCTACGTACCTCATCTGGTGACACCTTACACTTTAGACCAACTTGATTATTTTTACTGAAATGCTCTCTTCCTTTAAAAGAATAGTTTTCTTCCTGAAGTTAGCATTTGATAAATTTAGTTATCCTTCTATATTACCCCAGAATGTCATCTCAAAATACCTCTAGTTAAGAACCCAGATTGTTTCCCAAAAGAAACTTAGGACTCTGCCTGCTTCTCCTCCAAACTCCAGGTCATCCTCTGCTACAGAGTGAATTCTAGGACAGTCTAGGATATGGGAGACCATGTCTTTAAGAAAAGACAATTAACCTTTAAAGTCATTTTGAAGCCTCCATAAGAGTGAAATGGTCCACAGTTCTTTTCCTCATTATAAACTGGGCTCCTGAGTTTGTAATGGGATGTTGATGTTGCCACATGCTCATCTAACTCCCCAAGTGTGTGGGTCTGTCTTCAACAAGTGACATAGAGCGCCAGCATTCTCCATACTGATTCATCAGGAAGTACAGCCTTGAGCTGCCTGGCTCTTAGGTCTTAATCAGAAGTCCTGAGCCAAGTGATCTTCACAAGAGCTCAGTTCATAAGGCCTGCCATCTGCTTACCACACCAAGCAATGTCACTTCTATCTACCCATTACTTTGGGTCACTGGATGACTGTACCATACCTAGATCCATGCCTTGAGGTTTGTGAACATGACTTAAACTTACAGGCTTCTTTGAACCTGCAACCCTGACAGCCAGTGTTAAACGTAGAGTGGAGGACACTGGCTTGTGTACAGCCCTTTCCCCTCTACAGAGCGGGCACACCATGCTGCCCTTCAGATGGGTTAAACCTCCATTCTCTCTGAAACTCTGGGTCCTGTCATTTTGAGAGCTCTAACCTGAATCCGAATCTTAGTTATAATATTCATGTTGACCATTTTGATGATATTTATATGCTTTTTCCTGATACCATTTTCTAAACTGTTCTTTCTGCTAATATTTTAACATATGATTGTTGAGGGGTTTTTGTTATCATTCTTGTTTTCTAAGTGGCTATAAATGCTCTGTGGAAGCGTGCACATTTCAACATGTATATGTGCATAAATTTATATGCATATACGATTAAGTACTTCATATTAATATGCAGAGACATAGGCCTGCATCTGTTGAGGCGTAGCAGTCTTACCATTTACTTCTTGGTCGTCTTGAGGTTCCTCCACGCAGTATACCTGGAATGAGTCCACAACGTCCTCCCTGTCTGTGCTCCAGTACACTGCGATTGTTGTGCTGGTAGCAGAATTTGGTTCCTGAGGTTCTAGCCTAGGAGGCTGTGGGACTAGGATAGAAGCACAATTCGCTATGACTAATGTCATTTATTGATCAATTGTTTTGTTCCAAATACATTTAACATGTTGTTAAAATTCCAACGATATAGAAATCTATGGGATAAAGTAGGTGGGGTCCCTGTTTCCAACATGCAGCCCAACTTCACTACTTGGAAGCAGCCACTGTTAGGACTGTTTTTGCATCCCTGTCCCTCCAGAATGTTTCCCAGGCACTTCTGTAAGAGCATAAACAACACATATGGAAATGAAGAAAAGCGGGCCCCAAACTACATAACACTGTTCTGCAGTCTTATACTTAGAGAAATAGACTTCCAGTGACTAATGGATTGCCCAATAACTTGGTTTTACTCCTTAAAATCCCCTTGAATATGCTTTTTTTTTTTAAGATAAGGAATGCTATACTATTCTATATTGACATAGTTTATAAAAATAAAAAGTCATGAGCCCTTTCCAGAAATTGTTATAGTATTTTTAAGGTGAAGAAAGACTTGCATTAAATATTAGACTAGAAAGAAACCAAACAAACAAAAAAAAATATTAGACTAGAATTTTTAAAGCTACAATCCATATCTTCTCTTTCTAACATGGTATCTCTACAGACTTTTTAAATTAAAATTTAAAAACTGACAGGGGGTAGAGGTAACCTCTTGATGGAATTACATGTAAATTTTAGATGCCTAATCTAATTATGTGGCTCTGGATTTTAAAGACAGCAATATTCTCGAGTGTATTACTGAAGATTTTTGGAACTTATAATTATATGTATTGGACATTAATGCCATATAGACCAATCTCTGTGCAATTATATTTCTGAACTTATTAGACATGATCACAGGACATATTTTATACATCATAGAAAAAGTTATTCACATAAGCTGAAAAGATGTCATACTTTTAAGATTTGTGCATGTGCCTTCCCCAGCCAACAATTTCCTAAGAGATAAGCTTAGCAGAATAATGTAAGCCAAATTTATAAGTTGACACCCAGAGAAAAGAAAACAAAGGTTAGTTCAACAATAAGGTCAAAATGAGAAACAAAATAAATGGATTTGAAGAATGGAATAAAAAGACAAATTGAAATGATTCAATAAAGATAAGGAGGTAGATAAATAATGCAATTATTAAAAAAAAACAAAGCAGACAAGAAAAATGGTCAAGTTCATAGGCTTCAGAACAAAAGCTAAATGCTTTTCAGGCTAAACACAAGACCCCCAGCTCCCTGCATTATATTAGCCTCAGTTTCTCCATTAAAAAAAAAGAATGACTAATACTATTAATGTATAAGTATTTAATAAATATGCCTGGCTGGAGGCAGCACTGGGAAGGCAAGACAGCCTTGGTGGGAACACAGGAAATGGAGAAGAGATCAGGAAACTCCTGACCGAAGGCTGAACTGGAGTCTCAGTACCTGCCAGGTCATGGAGGCCACAGAGACAGGCTGAGCAGGCTGCATGGGAAGGTGGATACCCGCCTGGCCTGGCCTTTCCCCCCAAGACTGACAGCTGTATCTTCCAAGAGAGAATCAGAGCTACTCTGAAAGTATCCACCCAGAGAGAGGTGGTCCAGAAAGTTTTCATGTTACCCAGGCTTACGGAAGAGCCAAACAAAACACATCAACTCTTCCTGGAGTTCTTTGGAGTGGTGTGGAGAGCTTGGAGCATGACACAATGAGAATGCTCTTCTTCCCACTGTAAGTTACTCGTGGGGCTGGTCTTGTAAAAATGGCAACATCTTTCTATATCTTCCTCTCTAGCACAGCTTAGCAAGCCTAAAACTGATAGCCAGCCCCACCACATCACCTAATTTTAAGGTAGAGCCATTGTAGGGAATTAGCAAAGTATGTAGGCTACAAGAAATTTTGTTTCCACATATGCTCCTCCACCCAGAGAATTCAGTTAAAATAGCTGATTCTCCAAACAAGAGATGGGTTTTCTCCTGAAAATGCTCCAAAGGGGAAGAAGACTACCCCATAAACACACTCTAACAATCATGACTATGTTTGTAACTCATATTTGTAGAACACTGGGACCCAGATTTTACCTGTCAGTAATTCTTCCTATACTTCTACAGGAATAAATTTGATGTCAAAAAATACAAGGGTTAGCCAGAGGTCGGGTGCAGGAAGAGGAAGCTCCCTGAGGAGCCCCTCAGGTTGAATGCACCTGTAGAGATTTTACATTCAGGGAGCTAAACATTAATCTGCTTGGAGTTCAGTGCCTGGGGTTGAATGCAGATTCCACTCGACCTGGCTTTCAAAATTTCCACAGAAGATACAATCATGGTGCCATGCACCTATGATTCCAGCACTCAGAAAGCTGAAGCAGAAGGAACATGAGTCTGATGCCAACTTGGGTTATATAGTGAGGCACTTTCTCTAAAAAGCAAACAAGTCTCCGGGAAGGCAGCATCAGTCACAATAGCCAAGAGGTGGAAACAACCCAAATGTCCATCCATGGATGGAGAATAGATGGATGGATGGATGATGGATAGAGAGAGGATGGATGGATGGATGGATGGACAGACGGACGGACGGACGGATGGATATAACCCATGACATAGGCATATAGTAAGTCTTTAAACACCCAAGTTGTGACACATGTTACAAATATGAGTGATCATAGAAGAAAATATGATAAGTATAATAAGCAAGTTATAAAAAATACTATCTGATTTCACTTATTCAGGTCATCACAAGTCATCAAACTCAGAGAAAAAAGAAGAGGAGTGGCAATTTCTGGGGTCTAGAGACAGAAGGAGTTAGTTTCAGCGAATACTGAGATTTGGTGTTGTAAGATGAAATTCTGGGGATATATGGTGGTAATAGTTGTCAAGACTATGAGCACACTTCATGCTATATTTATACATTAAATGTATATAATTAAAGATGGTGAATATGCCAGATGTGGTGGTATACACCTTTAAAGCAGTAGGTAGGTAGAGCCAGGTAGATCTCTGAGTTCTAGCCTAGCCTGGTTGAGTACCATGCCAGCCAGCATTAATAATAAGACAAAATTAATTAATTAATTAATAAAACAATATAAAATGACTGGTAATATGGTACATTATTTTTTATTTTGCTTTCTTTTTAATTATGATATACATGTGTACATGTACATATATATATATATGAATGAGAGTTAGTACCTTAGTACCCATGGAGTACAAGAGAGAGAGTCCCAGATCCCATGAAGCTGGAGTTAGATGCAGTTGTGAGCTACCTACTGTAAATGTTGGGAACTAAACTCAGGTCCTCTAAACTAAATACTCTTAATGCTGAGCCATCTCTCCAGCCCTAACATGGTAACTTATATATATATATCTTACCATAATTAAAAACAAATCTAAGATCCAGAGTCAAAGAGGCCTAGCTAACCCTTCATTGATGTTTTCCTCTCTTTTCTTGCCTTGAGGGCAGTGGATAAAGTACGAAGATTCTGAGACCAGATCCCCCCACATCTCCAACCAGCTGTGTGGTCCTGAGCAACATGAGGCTTTGTTGTGTTCCTCTCTGTCCTCACCTGTCCAAAGGGATAATAACTAAACCTTCCTCCTGGGGTTGATGGGGGAGACGAGATGACTGGCTCTGTATATTTCACTGGCCCAGCCTCTGTGGGGACTGAATAAAAGGCAGGAGCAGCTGCTTCTCATGTGGGGTGGAGGTGGGGTTTGGGGGGGAGGTGGGGGGCTTGCATTCCGTGTAAGTCAGCAAGAGCCAGCTCCTCAAGGGCCTTTTATCTGAGTGGTTTCTTGGCCACAGAACAAAACATATAGGCCCTAGGCCACATAGTCTGCAAAGCAGCCACAGAGCAGCTCTGGCCATTCAAAGGAGTGTCTCTCTGAGTGCTACACACACTTCCTGGTGCGATGGCTAAACAGTCTGTGACTGTAATTCAGTGGCTTCTAAAATACACAAAAAGCCCTCCCATTGAGCATTAGGCACTCAAAAAACTCTAGTCTTGTACATGGACAGCCATGTACAAAAAAGCCTTAAAAACGACAGCAAACAACCACCCATGTGGGACAGCTCTGAAGGAAATTCATTAGGGTAAATGACTGACTTGTCCACTTTATTAACCGTGTTGCAATGTGAGTTTTTTTTTGGGGGGGGTGGGAGGGGGAGGCTGTCTTTTTAAAAGACATGGCAGCTGGTTCTGAAGGTATAATGTTTTCTACAGGAATGCAGGTTTTAAACACTACTGCTGTCTGTGAGGTAAATCTGACAAGGGTACCTCTTGCTGAGGATGTATGAGCACCGTGTACAGTAAGCAGAGCTCGGTAACCAGGAAAATGGCAGCTTTGAGCATTTAGATGCTGCATTGCCTTGTTTGCTAAAATAGAACATTAAAAAATAATTTGAAAAGCTGGCAGGATGCGCTGACAGCTGAGTGGGAGCCTCTTGGCGACAGACCATGATGCTGAGCTGTGGGTTCTCTAAGCTAAGCTGTGTGGCTTGGGGGGAGGGGGAGTAAATAAAGAAGAAGAGGAAGGAACTGAGCGGAAGAGGAGAAAACTACTTATAAGGTAAAACCCGTTCACAGCATGAGAAAGTATTTTATTCCTTTTTACTTATCTGCTGGGCTGCTGGTGTGAAGTAACTCTCTTACACAGAGGGAGAGAAATTCTAGTTTAAAAAAATAATAGAATAAAAGAAGAGGGGACTATTCAGTTGTATGCTCTTCATCTCTCCTGTTCGATCCAGCAGTCATATAGCTTCAAAGGGAAAAGGATGACGCTCTGGCCCCTGCATTATTTCAATCTAGCTTCAAACATTTACAGCCCATGTCCATCTTCACCCAGTTACAGAAACTTGACAAAACAGGCAAGCAAGAGCTGCCAAGATCCACCGAGGTAAGTAACATATTTAAATGCTCACCAGCCACTTGTTTCAGCATCTGGTCACCTTGTGCCGAGCCGTCATCATAATGTTCAAAGAGCGAGAAGGCGGCAGGCATGTTCTCTAAGGAGGCCGTGCTGTCCATGGCAGAAAGCAGCCTGTCAAGGGAATAGATCTCCACTAAGTCGGGAAAGCATGGACACAGGACCAAAGGAGGTCTTCCCATGCCTGCTCAAAGCTGTGGGAGCAACTGTGCTCTGTGAGAGGCAAGGCCCCACCACCACCCCCAGGTATCCAAAAGCATCGGGAAACATACATCTAAACCCCATGTATTCTTAGACTCCGTAGATGCCTGGTGATACTAGCGGTCTCATCCCCTAGGCTCTCAAATTTGAAAACTTTCCAATTATCTAGCCTTGGGTTCATTTCTCATAAATGGGTCCTGAACATTTCTTCATGTCCATGATTATTTTATATTCTAAGGACACAGTATCCCAAACCAGTATGGAAACTTCAATACAATAGGGATGCCCCTGTTTTTAACCCTCAACACCAGGCTTCCAGTCAAACTAAAAATAATACTCACCTACTATATGCCAGGCCCTGCTCTAGGGACTGGGGGTCTAGCTGTGAAATCAAGGCCAGCCGTCTTAGGAGACAGGCCTCAGCTTCCAAAGGGATGGCTTCTGTAGACCCAAGTCCTTCTCAAGGAGGGCAGGCACCCACTCACACTGAGCACTTGGAGTTGGGTTCGCTCCGAAGGGGAAAGATGCCAGGAGAGTTTACAAAATGACCTGTCTTTAGCCAAAGGGGCCTCAGATGGGCCAGGGCTCTGTCGGGTGCTCTCACACAGGCCTGGAATGTTCTTCTAGCAAGGAAGTCAGCTTGATGAAGTACATTGGCTTCCTTCTCTGCACACTTAGTTTTCCAGCATCAGTCCCACCCTGAGGCCTTTGCATGGGCTGCTGGTAACCTCTCCTCCCAGATACACTGGCACAGTGCCTTCCCTCTCTCAGCTCAGCTGTCTGTTCAAATGTCCCTGCTGTGGAGAGAGGCTGCAAATAGGACAAGGCTGGTGCCTGCTGGCCTCACTGCAGCCCCTCTCCCTGGTATTTATCATAGATATATTCTTTAACTGTCAACTTTACCAAAATATAATTTGCATGCAGGAAAAAAAAACGGTCTTATCTATTATTGTATTGTAATGTCTTACTTGATGTATAGTAGGCATTTAGTAAATATACCTTGATTTAATAAGATTCCATAATAATTTAGTAATGGTTTAATCTGTGTAGAAATCAGGATCTCAGGCATAGTAAATCTGGTAAGGGGGAAAGATCATGAAATATTTTTAAAATCCTTTCTACGCTTACTATTGTTAAGCTTGATAAAATTCACTATTATTTGATTTGGGGGAAATGCTTCAGTGAGGACTTCAGGGTATTAAAAATGAGTATGAATTTCTGAGGCAATAGAGAGAGTAAAGGTATTTCAGATGGAGAAATGATGTGAACATGGGCCAGCAATGCCAAGGAATCTGGCTCACTAGAGAGCAGAGTATGTCATGGGTGTTGAAAACAGAGACAGATATGAAAGGGAAAAGTATTTTTGACTTGATGGTGAAGGGCCTTTCACACACACTGAAAATTTCTATTTTATCTCTTGATGAAAGATCAGAGCCAGTACACAAGATAGGCAGTCCCCACGGAGGCTGGGCCAGTGAAACACACAAAGCCAGTCATCTTGTCTCCCCCATCAGCCCCAGGAGGAAGGTTTAGTTATTATCCCTATGGACAGGTAAGGACCAGGGAACACAATAAACATCATGTTGGGAGGCCCCCACACTGCTCTAGATAGTGGAAGATTAAAAGCCTACATTAAGGCTTTGGGAGTGCAGAATATGGAAAGAATAGACTAGGAATTATTATTGTTGTTGTTGTTGTTGTTTGAGACAGGGTTTTTTTGTATTGTTCTGGATCCTGTCCTGGAACTAGCTCTGTACACCAGGCTGGCCTTGAACTCACAGAGGAACTATTATTTTTTAAGTGGTGATCAGGGTTGGAGAGTGACTTAGCAGTTAAGAACACTTGTTGCTCTTGCAGAGGAGCAAGGCTTAATTCCCAGCACCCACATAGTGGCTCACAATCCAGTTCCAGGGGATTCCAGTGTCCTCTTCTGGCCTTGGGCATCAGGCATGCATGTTATACACAAACATACATACAGGCAAAACACCCATACCAAAAATAATTTTTATAAAAATGTGGCCAATATGCACACTGAGTCTTCTCAATACATTTCACTGACTAGCTCCTCCACAGAAGCTGACTGTAAATACCACAGTAAAATGTCCTAGTTTTTGCTTGAACACCAACCAACTCAATTTTAACAGCAAGTTGATATCCTTTTACAAGTCAGTCCTACAATAGCTAAGACTCTCCTGTTCATTATTATAATACAGAAGAACAAAACACAGAGGGGGATGTATCCCCTTAACAGAACAGCATTTGTAAAGCAAAAATGTGTTGTTCAAGATATGCAAATTTTGGGTCTAAATATGCTTGACAGCATTCCTTAATTTAAGCATTTTAGTGCTGAGAAAAATCAATTAATATAAAAGTACTGTCTCCAGAGAGATAATATGAAGTCAGGAAAAAAGCAGGGAAGAAACAAATAAGAGAAAATAAACTAGACAGCATTTCCTATAGAAAAGGAAGTAGAAGTTGTCTTGAGCATTTAAAGTTGTGTGTGTGTGTGTGTGTGTGTGTGTGTGTGTATGCATGCAAGCGTGCACACATGTGCATGTGTACTCATGTTTATAGAGCTTTCTTTAGCTGCTGATATTTCTCACCAAATCCAAGAGCTGTGTTGTCCTTTATTACATAAAAATATTGGTTATCCCAACACCTGCAAAACTTGTTGAACATGGAGATGTCAGACCAATGCCTATATAAAGTCCCTACCCCTACATTCTAGTGTCTTTGGTACAGGAATGTACTCTGCATGCTACCAAAAGAGAAATATAAACACCAATCCAGCCACAAACCCTTCAATCCATAATGGTATCCAGCCCGCAGGATATACTAGGGTAATTCTCACAAAACCTGTGAGAATAACCAGCCAATATTTGATTTGACTTAAAGCACACTCTATGAGATGGAACTCATATCCAACACTGTTTGGGTGACAAGAACTAATGACCTAGGATAAAACCAAATAATAGTGATCTAAAAACAGGGGGAAAATGCAGTGATAAAAAAAAAAAAGACAATCTGCTATATTGATAGATCAGTGCCTTCCTCAGTCATCAGCAGAGAAGCTCCCTCCTGCAGCAGATGGGAACCAATACAGAGACCACAGCCAGACAACGTGCAGAGAGGGGGAGACCTTGGAATACTCAGCCCTAAATGGGATGTCTCCATCAAATCCTTTCCCTCAGAAGTCAGGGAACCCCGAAGAAGGGGAGGCAGAGTTAAGAGCCACAGGGGATGGAGGACACCAAGGGAACAGAGCCCTCTAAATCAACAAGAGCAAAGGCTCCTGTGAGCTCACAGAGACTGAGGCAGCTTGCACAGGGCCTGCATGGGTCTCCTTCAGATCCTCAGTGCATACATTATGGATTCTAGTCTAGTGTTTTTGTGGAACCCTAAGTGTGTGAACAAATGGGTCTTAATTCTTGTGTCTTCTCTTGGGCTCTTTCCTTCTGTTGTTGGTTTCTCAGGTCCAAGTTTGATGTGATAGTTTCTGATATATATTACTATATATTTTTTGAATGAATGAGTGAATGAATGAATGAATGAATGAATGAATGAATGAATGAAAAACTAGTAGCCACTGGGGTAGGTAAAGGTTAACAACTGAACTGCCATTTATACCTTTTGGGAGAGGGACGATCAGTTTTCTCCAATGGTGTAACACTGGGTATATCAACCATTCCAGGACAGGCCTCATGTTCAAGAATAGTTGACCAACATATAACATACTCCACTGTTTTTTGTGTATGATTTTATTTGGTTACAGTTTGGTGTTTTATTTTTTTTTTCCTTGTTGTTTTTATTTTCTCTCTGTTTGGGTGTTGTTTTGTTTTCTTGGTTGGGGGTGTTGTATTGGGTTTTTTGTTTGAGAAAGAAATTAAAGTTAGGTGGGTAGGATAGGGAGGGGAAGGGGATCTGGAAGGATTTGAAGGAGAGCAAGAATAAGATTGATGTATATTTAAATTTAAAAGTTATTTTAAATAATAAAAACATAATAAAAAGAAAAATATTGGTTATCCCAAGTGTATTCCCTTGTGACATGCAGCAGTAGTAAAGATTAATTCATTATCAATTCAGAGTAAAAACGAAATTAATTAAAACGACACATAAATTACCAAATTAAAGCATAAAACCAAAGGAATGGTGTTTAGTATGCAATGGCTGTGTTCATATTAGTGGTAACCAAGTATTTAGAAAAGTAAAACCATCTTTCAACATTTTTAAAGTAAAAGCATTTCTAAATTTTCACCAGCCCAATTTTCTTCCTGATCATTCATCTTACACATATGGTCTAAAAATAATTAAATGTGCATCTATATTGTCCAGTATATGCCCACATATTTTTAACTTCAAAATCAATAATTGCATTACTGATCTTTAAGTTTAAAAATATATGGATCACTGCTTGGATATGAGTTTCTGAACCTCATCCATGGGAACTGGTATGGAGACTCATACTTACCTACAAATCCCCAAGGAGAAGGGGGTGGGGCTCCAGGGTCTAGGGCATACTGTTACCCAGGGGAATTCATGCACTGTCAATTTGGAAACTGATGGGCCTGAGGTCAGAATCCTCTCACCCAGAGGTTCGATCTGCCTGTCCATCACAACCACCCAGGAAGCTCTGAAAACGTCCAGACCACACTTCAAACCAATGAAGCCCCAATGTTAGGACTTAAGAATCAGACAGCATCAGCATCAGCAGGTTTTGAGTTTTTTTGTTTGTTTGTTTGTTTTGTTTTGTTTTCATGACAGGGTTTCTCTGTGTAGCCCGAGACATCCTGGAACTCACTTTGTAGACTGGGCTGGCCTTGAACTCAAAGATCAGTCTGCTTCTACCTCTAGAACACTGAGATTAAAGGCATGCACTATCATGCCTGGCTTAGCATCAGAGGGTTTTAAAGCTCCTCAAGTAACTATTCACAGTACAGCCACTGTTATAAAACTCTGGTCAACTAGTGCCAACACTAATATATAAATGGGCCTTATAAAGTATACTGACACTATATTTCAAGCAGCTAAGAGTAATTCCTGCGGCTTCAGTTACCTGAAAAAGTTCAAGTTTCCTATTCAAAGCCCTTTTTTTATATATGTTCCTGATAAATATTTCCAATTTTAGTCTCAGCTGTTTACTCTCTGCCATTGAACTTCGGTAGAAATAAGCCCAAGGTAACATTTATAACTTAGAAATGGACATTTACGATTCCACTAACGGGATAAAACCTTGGGCTCAACTAGAAGGAAAGATCACAGTTCCTGCTGTGGAGTAAAAGGAGAAAGGCTGAGGTCAGTGTCGGGCGTCAGCAGTAAATGCTCCAGACGACAAACGCGAGTCTGATGTCTGTGTCTTCATGAACAGCACTTCCCAATCATGATGATGTTTTGCCTCTCAGAAGAATGAAGAATCTCTTAGACCAAGTGTTAGGAGCATCATCAAAACAAAACACAATCAAGAGGGTAGGGTTCATCAGATCAGCTGAGCAAGGCTAAGCACAGAGCTGCCTTCTGAAGGAAAAATGTGTGAACATGCCATCAAGGCGACATGAGTCCTAAAATTGTCCACGGCAGCAAAGAATGATTGCTTCAAATGCTCATATTTAACCAATAAGCCTAAAAAAATTTTTTTTTAATTTAGCAGCAGGAAAGATGGTTGAGATTAGATTGGAAATACAGGCCACATCTCAGGAAAGCAGTTACAAACTACACTATGATAATTGTTATTTAACCAAAGCACATGCAATTTTCTTCTGAAGCTGTCATTTAACATTTAGAAGCACTATGCCTAAGAGGAGAAACCCAGCAGCTCCCTGGCTCGATGTGTTTTTAATTGGCAGCTCACTCCCACCCCCACACGCCCAAGCATCCCACCAGGCTCTCCTCCGCCTTGCTACTTCACACCATGTTGCATATACCTTTCATTGATTTCCTCAAACGACTTGGGTTGGGAGAGGAGGAGGAGAAAGAGAAGGAGGAGAAAAAGGAGGAGGAGGAGGAGAGGAGAGGAGAGGGGGAGAGAGAGAGAGAGAGAGAGAGAGAGAGAGAGAGAGAGAGAGAGAGAGAGACTAGTTAACAACAGAAAGTAAAAGCAACCAGGAGCCTTAAGAGCAACCATGTTAACAGTCTTTACCCCTAGGCATCCCTGAGGCCATTTATTTGTCTTTTGGACTTTAGGATGAATAGCAGGGAAACTATACTCAGAGGGAGCAAGAACTGTGTGGAGGAGGGAGGGGCCTTCATTTACAGTTTACCTTGCTCCCTTTGATGGGCAAGGAGACAGTGAGCTATTGTATTCTGTTCCTATTTAGTAACCAATACTGAAGCAAGAGGGAAAATTCTGTGAAGCAAGGGGGGAAAATGACTGAAATTTGTTCTGTGTGGGTTTTACATACATTGGAGCCAGCAGTTATCTTAAAGGGTTATCGTCTCTCTGCTTCCAATACTCCCCACCTTTTCTAGAGTGGATAAACACCACCACCAAGAGCAAAAACAAATGCCCCCCAATATGTTCTCCTAGAGAGAAAGAAATATCCTTATCAAAGGGTACAGTGAAGAACAAAGGGCCTTATTAATGTTATACCTCATAAGAGAGTCCTGATTTAAAATATTAAAGCACTGCTTTAATTAGACATAAAGCCACCTAATGATTTTAAATTCTCTGTTGAGGATGGGCATATTCACTTGATCTAAATTTGCCCCAGACAGAGGTGTCCCCAGAGGCCAATCATGAGCTTTTATAATGCCTATTTTTACCTCACTCTGTCTTCCAACTTCAATGGGAGTTCTAGGAAGATGGGGAACTTTGAAAGAGGGGTCCCCTCTCAGCACTGATGGAGATTTCCCATTTGACAATTAGGCTTGTGTCTGTTCTCTGGGAAAACATCTGTATTACTCCTGGTTAAATATGAGTGTGTGGAGAGCCAGCATCTTCTAGGACATTCTAGGAATTTTTGAGGAACAAACTAAGGTGCATCCAAGAGAGGATTGCTCTCCACCAGTGCCTTGTTTCAATTAAGGAATCTTGTCATGAGGAAGCTGCCTCTAGCAATATCCCTGTCCTGTTTGAGGAATGTGTCCCCAATTAAGTCTCCCTTACACACCAAAAAGTAACAAACAAAAATGTTACTGCCATCTGCTAAATAAGGGCGTGAGGACTGGTTCATATGAGAGGGCAGCTCAGTTGAGAGAGTTCACATGCAGGCCAGAGATGCTAGACAACAGGGGCCAGGCTGGCCCTCAGAGGAAAGGCACGGCATAAATAAGGCTGTGAAGGACTCTCCAATCAACCTTCTGTAACGTGAAGAGAGGATGGCCTCCATCCATGAATCTCTTGGAGATCTAGGAAGTTGGACCATTACAATGTCCTGGGCCTTTACTACAGTGTAGGCATCATGGGTGCCTAAAGAATTTTAAAATGCCAGAACTGTGTAAATTTCACACTGAGAGACAGAACTTTCTGGGTTTGCTTTGGAGTTCTTGCTTACTTTTTTTTTTGTTGTTGTTGTTAGTTTTTTAAGACAGGAAGGGTTTCACTATGTAGCCTTGGCTATCCTGGCATTCACTCTGTAGACCAGGCTGTCCTCAAACTCAGAGATCCACCTGCCTCTGCCTCTTGAGTGCTGGGATTAAAGGCGTGAGCCACCACCTCCCACTGCTTTGTTTGACCCAGAGTCCTGAGATATAGGACAGGACTTGTCGCTGTGGTTGTGATGCCCCAGCTTCCCAAGTGCTGTGATGACAGGGTTGTGCCTCTATACCCAGTTTATAAACAAATTGAGTAATCATTTTAAAAGTAGACTCATGTCAGCATCAGCACCAAGTATCGGGCCTGATTCCTGTGTTACTTACAGCCAGGAAAACTGTCTCATCAAGCTCCTCGGCTTCTCTCACGATGGTCTCCAAGGTGTCCTTTGCTGTGTCCATGCTCTGCAGAAAGTGGACCATCTGGTCATGCAGGAACTCCATCTTCTTCCTCTTCACTTCCTCGAAGCTTTGGGCTTTCTCATCATACTGTGCCAAAACCTTCTTCATCATTGCCTCATTCTGCTCTTCCAGTCGTTTCTCGTTTTTGCTGCAGTTTTCCTAGAGGGTTGGAACAAAAGCATTTCTTAATAAACAGTTCTTCCTTTGGAAGAACTGGCCTCTGACATGCCAGCAAAACAGTCAAACATGACAAACACGGTCTAAACTTCCAGCTTCTGTATCTGTTTTGCTGTAATTAGTTCTGCAATAGAATTCACTGTAAGAGTACCATCAGGAAGGAACAGAAATAGCCAAATTTAAAAAGAAGGGAAAGAAAATCACACCCAGGGAGGAGGATCCTGGCCATTAGGACATAGAAAGGGCTTGTGTGATTTTCTCTGCACCAGTGTTGTTCTGGGAGGGCCAGTTCTGCCACAGTGGAAGGAACTTTACTAACCATTTGGACATAATTGGTGATTGGTACCCTCACTAGAGTAGCTGCGGAAGGGGACAATAAGGGAGGTGTTCACTAATCTACAGTGGCAGCAAGGAGACTTCTTCACTCTTTATTGACAGCCACAGAGGTATCTGGGCCACCTCTAGCTAAGGACAGAATGTTCCTACCCACTCCCTTCCCAGCAGAGGGGCAGAAGCTAACAGAAGTATGTGTGTTCAGAGGTGCCCTGAGACACCATTGGCCCCAAACATAAGACTCAAGTCAGTGACCAGAACGTTTCTAGAGGCCAAGCAGCGAGAGGCAGGAAAGTAGAACAGAAGACCTAGTCTCTCAACCAAGAAATGGAAACAGTAACGCCTCTTAGTAAATGTCTGAGGCTTCACTTTCAGAAATCATGCTTTCCCATGCCAGGGCTCCAAGAAGTGAGAGTCTTTAGGGGAAAATTCTTCATCCTTAAACAGAAAGCAGTCTCATTGCTCACAGTGAGAGGAGACTATAAGAACCAAGAACCATCACTTTGAATTAATAACCAACAATGTAAACTATACACATTACACACAAATATACAACACACACTCTATACCACACACATACATACATACACATTACATATGATACCACACACAGAGACAAATACTATATACCACATACACACATACATGTAGTTAGTCTTTCTTGTCAGACTTTCTTTGGGCCACCAGCCCCCAAATAATGACACAGAGATTTATTATTAATTATGAAAGTTTGGCCTAAGCTTAGGCTTGTCTCACTAGCTCTTATAACTTAAATGAACCCATTTATATTAATCTAAGTTCTGCCATGTGGCTTTACATCTCCTCTATTTTGTACATCCAACTCCTTCCATGTCTAATGGGCTAAAAAATTCTCCATGCCTAGATTCATCCCCTGACCAGAAGTCCTGCCTAACCTCTCCTGCCTAGCTGTTCAGCTTTTTATTATACCAATTACAATGACCCATCTTCATATAGTGTAAACAAATATCCCACAACACATATACACACAAAAAAATACCATACTACACATACACACACATACATGCACACTACATTCCACACCCTCCCCAAATACAAACACTATACACCACATATTACATGCATGCACACACGCTATACATCCCCACATACACACACACATGCCATACATACTACACACCACGTTACACATTACAATACACACACCAATTCAGTTCCAAGTAGTTTAAAGTAGATACAATGACTAAAGCAGGACAAAGTAGAAAAAAGTATGCTAACTTACCTCAATGGTGTTAAAAAAGGATTCAATCTCACTAACAAAGGCTTCAATCCTCAAGGATTTTTCTTGTAGGTTTTCAAGAAATTCTCCTAATTGAACCTGAAGGGAAGAATTAGTGTCTTTACAGTGTAATATTAGGGGGAAACATTTCAATCAGTGGATTCTGATTTTCTTCATGTTTGTGGAGATTTACTATACCATATTCACTAACAAATCAAGTCTTAGAGATTTTTGTGCTTCTCTTAAATGGATTGGACACAGTTAAGTGTGACAAACAGTCACGTTTCATGGGGCTGGAGAAGTAGCTCGGTTGGCAAACCACCTACTTTGCAAGCATGAGGACATCAGTTTGCTCCTCAAAACCAATGTTCTGAGCTGTTCATGCTGGTGTATGCTTGTAATCCAGAATACGGAAGTAGAGACAGACAGATTCCTGGCTCTCTAGCAGCCAGCCTCGCCCACTCAGTGAGTTCCAGGAAAGGGAGAGACCCTGTCAAAAGTTTAGAAAAATAGTGGATAATGCCTGAAGAAAAATATTTGAGATTTTTCCTCTGACCTCCACATGAATGTAAGCACACATTTGCAAATTTAATAAACTCCAGATTTGAATTATTACTGCTCATAAGGCCTGGAGTTTTGTACAGTCTGAAGTAGAACTCTATGAGTTTGACAAGCTCTAGAATCACCTGTAGATATAATGTGACCCCCTGCCTTTAGCCCCTGCCACTGTGACTTTTCCATGGTGGGCTATACACTTGAATTTGAAACCAAAATAAGCTCCCCTTACCCCATCACTCCCTTAAGTTCCTTGTGTCAGCAGGCATTTTCACAGTAACACGCACAGTCTTTTGCCTGAACCTCCGTTGTTTCTTCACATGAGCATCACAACCCCAATGTGCCTGGCAGAGCTGAGAGGTGATCAGGGTACCACCAGCCAACACACCAGCACCCCCAGCGATACTGAGGACTGCATTTTAAAAGGGGTTAAGGTTTGTGGTAGGTAGCAACCAAGTAGAAAATTTATGAAGTGTCGTGTGAGAACAGTCCCTACTCCACCCACAGTTCTAAGCTAATGGTATTCTGGCCTGATAAACATAATAATAAAATCAAGACTGAACAACAGAGCTTCAATGACCATGATATACATGATGAAATCTTCAAAAGGCCTCTAATTCCCTGTATGTCTCAGTCCCTAACCAACCCCTCAATCCCGTAGGCTCCTGTCACACAAGCTTTGTAGCTCCTTCTCACACATGTGTTTTCCTTACAGTTTCCATTTCTAGAACGTCCTCTCTGCCATTGACCAATGGATGATCTCTTCTTCATCAAGGCTCAGCCAAGCTTCAGCTTTTAGAGACTCTCTCTGACCTCCCCCCCACTACCCCCTCCCCAACTGCTGAACTCCCAAAAGCTTAGTCTCTCGTCATCCTGTACTGCTAAAAGCCAGCACCGATCTGAGGAACCTCTAAGTCCATCTCCTCATTTCCCGTTCTTCCTTTCTCACTCCCAGTGACTGGCGTCCTTCCTGACATAGAACGGGAGATCAATAAACACCGAAAGCAGGAAAGAAGTGAACCAAGGATGAAGATGAGTTAATAAACAACCATCATGGCGGAGAAGAGGAAAGGAGGAAGAGCTGGGGCTTCCGGAACTGCAGCCAATGGTCTCAGAAGAGACACAAATGGCCACCTATACAAGTTACAGCTTTTTGTGATAGCCGTTTTGTAAATTCTATTTAGATTTACTTATTTACGTATATGAGTGTTTGTCTACATGTATGTATGTGCACCATGTGTCTGCCTGATCAAAAGAGGGTATTGTGTTCCCTGGAATGGAGTTGTAGATGACTATGAGTCACCATGTGGGTGCTGGGAACTGAACTCAGGTTCTCTGAAAGAGTAAAAAGTGCTCTTAACTGCTGAGTCATCTCTCTAGCCACCAGATTTTCTTTTTTTCTTTTAAGTTGCCTCCAACTCTTAATTATCACAGGTAACTTAATGGATAAATAAATAAATAAATAAATAAATAAATAAATAAATAAAGCCTTCCTGGCTTTAGTTAACAGTTCTCACGTTCTTCCTTCCCACATTCCTTAGAGAACATCAAACAAAACAAACAAAAATCTTTAAAAGGTTGTCTTAAAGATGATGCCATAATCCTACTTTTGAATTTTTTTTAATTGAAAGATTTATATGATCTAAAGAGATCAGAGTATTATTTTTGGACTTTTAAATTGCCAACATTTGGGCAAAACTTAGATAGGAACAAAACATAATTAATAAGAAGGTATGGAAAGTTGAGCAGACAGTGGTCAATAGCTGTCAGTCTTCAAAGAAAATGTAATCCTAAAATGAGGCATATTTCCATGGATTTAATGCACCCAATATGTGACATTTCACAACAGAGGTTGCTTTGTCCCTTCCTCCCAACTTTAACCAGAAAAATGCCACTGAAATCTCACTCTAGAGAAGTAAAAGGGTATTAGTTTGATAGGAAAATAATATCCAGGTTCTAAAATGCAAACATATTTAATCAAAATGATCATGAAAATTATTTAGCAGCAGTATTATTGAAGGATGGTTTGAGAACCACTGATAGCAAGGCATTGAGCTGAACAGTATGGACACACAGCCAAGAGGATAAGCTCCAATGTCAGGCCAACTGGGTTATCAGTCCCAGCTTTTTCTCTTGTGACCTCCGCAAACACTAACTCCCCGAGCCCATTCCATTATCTGTAGACTGTGATGGTAAGCTATGAGAATTAAAATGTACTCTGTATACAAAGAACTCAGCACAGGCCTGGCACAGAGAAAGCACTCAAGTTTTGTTATTATTTACAGAGAAGTGAAATACAAGGTGATTGAGAGGTAGGGTGGATGGATGCTCAGACTCCGTGTCTCTCAGCAGCACCCTGGGGGTGGTGGTAGGATATGATACAAAAAATAAATAAATAAATAAAAATAAAATCTTAGTGTTTCAAGAATGTTTAACACTTAGAAAAGAATTGGTCAGTGCAGTAGACACATATTTAAAGGACAATATTATTGATGACAGAAAGTAACTTGTTTTGTGTGCAACTGTATAATTGCTGAGATTAAAAACATTTTACATTTTTATAACATTAAGGGTCTTTGCTATGAGATATAAGCTCCTTGGTGTCAATGACCCCATATTATTTCTTGATATTCCAATAACCTAGAAAAGTGCTCTCACACATAATATACCTGTAAGAATTGTAGACAACATAGTCTTAACTAAATTCTTAGTGAAATAGTTGCACTTTTTTCAGGACCTTTTGCTTAAAATGACTGTCAAATCTTGGCCATTTTAAAGAAAATGTCAAAGCAAACCCAGTATGTATAATTTGTGTGTTAAGTTGGTTTACCTTCACAGCACTTATAGCTGTGTCAAGCGCTGAAACTTCATGGTCTCTGTGAATGTCCAACACCTTGTCCATTTCAGAGACTGGACTTTTGCAGGTGTAGCAGTAAGAGTCAACCTGGGCCTTTGTCCGTTCCTTACGTGTCTTATCCATAACTGGCTGCGGTGCAGGCTGGTCATTTTCTGTCCTCCTCCTGCCCAACTCTTTCTGTTCAGCAGACGTACTTGGTTCCTCCTCATTCGTGAATTCATGTTCCTTGATGCACTCGGAGGATTCTGGTCCTTGAGATAATGCATCTTGAGGTGTGGATTTCGAAGACGGTTCTCCTGCTAAGATGCCTCCACTGACCGTTTCTTCATTCAGAGAGTCAATGAACTCGTACTCATCCTGCACAGGGATATTGTGGAACCTCTCTTCTTGTGGCACGGATGGGACTAGCTCTTCTTGGGGTATTTCCGGAGCATAAGCGGCACTAGCTGCAAACTCTTCCTCTGGGAAAGACACTTGCACTGGGATGTTCAGCTGGACCTCTGGACTGGCATTTCCTGCTTCGTTACCCTGGCTGCTTGGTTCATCTGCACTCTCTAGAACAGGGCGGGTGTCTTCAAATGGAACCGCATAGCTCATCTTCTGGGTGACTGCTCTGACCTCCTCTGTAATGGGAGCTTTCTGCTCCATTGCCACTTCATCACTGGTCTCCCTGTGACCCGTGGAGTCACCTTCCCTGTCAGCAGCCTTGTGTTCTTCTTCCAGATTCCTCTCCCAAAAACTAGATCCAGGCTTCCTCCCAATTTCTCTTTCTGCAACTCTCAGTCTATGTGACTCATCCTCACTGACTGGCTTTTCTTCCAGGCCTTGGCCTTGATCCTCCTGAGCTACAGATGTGTCGTGAAGAGTGTCATCTCTGAGTAGATACTTCTCAAAATACACACCTGTTCCATCATCAGTGTCAGAATGTCTCCTCGGAAACGATGCCTCCGAATCTGCACTGCCTCCTTCAGAAGCTGACTCCGCTCCATTTTTCTCCCCAAACGCCTCTTCATACAGGTCCTTATATAAAAACGCAAGTGCAGGTGGTTCCTCTAGAAGCTCTGGGTTAACAGCCTTGGCGGTGGTAGGAAATATCTGGCTTCTTGCTAGAACTCCTTCCTCCACACCAAACAAAGGCACCCCAGGTGATCTGGAGTCCACATCTCTAGCAACACCTTTCGAAACGTTTCTATCATCTGGTGTTTGGATGACCAGAGACTCTTGCATCTCTGCGTGAGATAGTTCGCTGTAGTCCTTTTCTAGCCCGTAAAAGCTTTCATCTAAGTCATATTCTTGTTCTAGGGTGTGTTCATCTGAATGTTCTCGGAAAGAAGCCACTGCTTCCGTGGTTTCCTTTGAGAATCCTCCAACACTTAATTTCTGTTTTTCTGAGTCTGGGGTGAGGTTATAATCAATCAAAGTGTATTTTTCAAAATAATCCTCCTCAGTGGAAACCGTGGGTGAAATGAAAGTGAGGTCACCTGTTTCGGACTCTGTGGCTATCTCTTCTCTTGTTTTATGAGTTTCCTTTGGCTCGTTTTCTGCCAGGGACGTGACTTTCCTATCAGAATCTTCTAAGTTGCCCTTCCGTGTTTTATGAGAAGCGACTGCCTCACTCTCATCATGCAGGGATATAGTTTTAAAGGAGGATTTCTCCTCCAAATACTGTAACTTATCTTGCATTTGTTCGCTTTCTTCCTGATCCACGGAAGGGATGAAAGCAGGAGCATGGATATTCAGTATCTCACAGCCTTCGGAAATGATGCTAAAGGCACTCTTCTGATCCTCCGAAAGTCCAGCTGGCTTGCTAGTTACTGCAAATTCTTCATCCCTCGCCGAGGTGCCTTCAGCCTCCTTGGGCGTGCCTCTCTTAGGCAGGGTTCCATCAGCACTGATTGCTGATGCATTAAGCATAAACTGAGTATAGTTGCTCGATGCTGAAGAGAGTGGGTCGTTTCTGCACTCGTCCTCCACAGCTTCCGAGTGATGCTTTGACACAAGAGCAGACTGTTTTGGCATCCCAGCTGGGCGATCTTTAGATATCTGGATAGTGTGGATCGTAGGCCTTTCTGACCATGTTTCCGGTTTCTTCACCGAATGTTCTAGAGAAGCCCCTGAAACGAGAGTTTGTGGTTCTACAGATGACAGCTGAATTCTCAGATGCTGTGTCTCATCAGGAATGTGCTCGGGGGTCCTTTCGGCATCCTTAGATAGAGATCCTGGCAGTGTACCTTCATCCACAGCGGTCAATGAAGCCCCGGTGGACAACGCGGGCGCTATGAACTGCCTCCGCTCCTCTTTGAGAACCATTCCATTGTCACTTGACTTCTCCAACTCCAGATTTCCTCCCTGAGTCACGAGGTGGCCAACCATTTCCTCCCTGTGAGGAGGCTCCACGCGGGAAGACTTTTCTACTAAAATTTGACTTTCTCGCAGGGGATGGAGTTGGGTTTCTGCTGCCTTTTTCTCCCTTATTCCTGGGTATACCTCCATGGATATGTGTTCTGGTTGTTCAATAACCAATGAAGGTGATCCAGCTTCGCCCAAAGACGCAGCCAATGGTTCGGGTATAGGCATGGCTGCGGTCAGAGAGTAGGACCTGTGTCCCTGCTTCTTTCCTTCTGAAAATGCCCATGTCCTCTCTTCCTTTTCTCTCCTCTCCTCCGAAGCAAGAGTCACACTGGGTTTTTCCGTGAGCTCTTCACTTGGAGAGATGCGCGGTTCCAGCTTCTCAGCAGCTTTCAATTCTTCCAATTTAAAAGGTCGAGATTCCAGCGTCTTTTGCAACTTTCCTGCCACCTCATTTTCCCTAAGCGCCAAGGGAGCCATGATTTCTTGTTTTTCTGCCAGGCCCCTCTTCTCTGCCAGGGAAAATGATCTAATTTCCCAGCTATCCTCCTCCTCGGCTGGGCGTTTGACTTCCTCTTCCTGATGTTTCCAAGCAGCGGGTTCTGGCATTTCTTTTCTTGGTCTGTGTTCACCAAGATCAATTAAACCGCCTTTTGATTCCACTGGTAAAATCTCTGGCGCTGGCTTCTCTGAGTCCTTCGTGCTTGAGAACTGGGATGGAACTGATTTTGGCCATTGCAGCATTTTATCTTCTATGTCAGATGACAGGAGCAATGTTTGACTGCCATCACTGTTCGGTTCTTCCTTCAGAGCAGAAATCCTCCACGTGGATGGAGGAGAGATTTGTGGCTTCTGGTGTCTTTGGCTCTCAGTAACATGAAGAGCAACAGCGTCTGGGGCTTCTTCCATAACCAGTTTCTCACCCGAGGGAGAACAAGGTTCAATTCCAAGATGTTTGTCACCAGCTGACGTAGCTGAGCTCACACCCATTCCCTCTGAATAGCCTGGAGGTTCTTTCTTCCCATAATTTTCAGTGTTGGATTCTGGCTGGTTTAAAACTTCTGCATTTGATAAAAATATGAGTTTTTCTTTGAGGTCTTGACTTTGACTGGCTTTGGGTTCGTCAGCCAGTTTAACTGTGTTAAGCTCAGTAGGAACTGCACCTTTTGGCTCTACCACAGCTGCTGTTTTCTCTACAGAGGGACTCGACTGGGCTTCTGAGTCTTCTTTGTCACTGACCTTATTATCTGGAGAGCTTGATCCAAACAATAAACTAGACATCCATGATTTGAAGGATGACATTCCTTTCTTCCCCTTCTCTGCAGGAAGACCTTGCTCAGCCACCAATGACTTCTCAGGTGGCCTTTGTGTCACCTCTGGTGTCTCAGGGGGTGGAGGTGTAATGTGTGCTGTGACTGCAGGGACAGATTTACTTGGGGTGGACACTTTCTGGTCAGGGGCTGGTTTTCTCCTTTCACCAACATCATCTACAGTCTTTGACTGTACCCATTTGGGTTCTTGAGATGCCTTCTCACCAGACACTGGTACTGTGCTTGCTTCTTGGTCTTTGCCCAGCATAGGTTCTGCAACTTCGGCCAGGAATTGTGCTGCTCTGGCAGGAATCGAGGGGGTTTCTGCCCTTACCTGTTCCACAGATGGGCCAGGCTCTGATTTCTGGAGAGTTCTTTCAAGAGGTAGTTTGATTTCCTCCTGGGTTTCTTCTTTGCAAGGCCTGGGACATTCTGCATTTTCTTTCTCTGATAGCAGACTTTCACTCTGTGTGAGAGAATTGATCTGCCTGTCCTCTGTTCTGCCTCTCACCACCCTTGCAGCTGGAACCACAGGCTGAGGTTCCTGAGACAAGTTTATTTCTTCAGAAAGGGAAGTCTTGGTGGATGAGGTTTCTATCCCACCACTAAATATATGTAGGGTAGATTCTTGTTCTTGCAATGGCAAATGAGGTTCTTCCATAGCTTGTGATAGAACCTGCTTTCTGATTCCAGATATGTGACCTGTATCCAATGGAGCAGCCTCAAGTTTCCCTGGCATCAGATCATCGCTATTAGAGAACTCCAGCATCCCAGATCCTGGTTTTCTATCTTCATGCTGATTGGCCAAGTTGTCTGGTTTTTCCAGCATGCAGGTGTTATCCTTTGGAGAAAAGAGCGCCCCCTTCACGTTTGTTACTGTAACATTGGCAGGCTCAGTTGTCGTAAATGATTTGGATTGCTCCAAATTATCTTTTCTGTCTGAGAATTGTTGAATACCCAGATCTGGTTTATCTGCAAAAGAGCTGTTCATATCAGGCACCTTAACAGCTTGCCCCTCATGTAGGGTTTTTGCAAGCTCCGTTTGCCTTACAGTGAGGTTAGAAGAGGCTGTCTCTAATGGAGATGTGGCAGATGCAGGGAACTCCCTGTTTTCTTCTTGTTCTTTTCCTCTGCCCCTAAGCTCAGTGGGGCCCTCTTCAGTTACTGGTTCAGTTACAAGGGGTTTTACTGGTTCTACACCTAAGGACCCACTTCTACCTCTACTACCAATGAGTTCTGACCCAGCAGTTGGTGCTTCTAATAACTGTTTGTCTTTCTTCTCAGGCTCTGGGGGGAGCTTTATGAGCTCTCGCTTTCCTGACAGGAAACCCCCCAGTACTGAGGAAGATGTCTCCTCTGATTGTCTGTTCACTTCATCCCTAAGGGCCAGTAGTGATGGGGCTAAAGCATCTGACACAAAATTTTCAGACTCAGGAGACCTTATTATCTCCTCAGGTTTGTCATTTGGAACTGAGTGTTTGGGTGCAGGTGACATTTGTGATAGAGGAAGCTCACTGTTTTCTTTCTTTACTTCACCACCTAAGTTGATGGGAAGTTTGGGTTGTGACTTTGACACCTCAGAGACAGACACCAAGTTCTTTTTCTGTGATGAAGTTGAGCGTTCAGAATCAAGAGCTGGAGAGAATGGAAGGCCTTGTGTATCTTCTGGTCTGGCTTCCCCAGATGCATCTGCTGGCACTTTGGGTATTGGCAACCCAGGTTTAACACCTTCACTTTCTACTTTTGACAAAACAGAATGCTCCGATGAAGATGATAGACTCAGAGATGAATCTAATTTTGTTTCTTTCTCTGCTCCTGGACAAGCTGAATCTCTGGATAAAGAAATGTCGATGACAGCAGCAGCACCCTTAACTGGTTCTCTCTCTTCCCCTATGGATATGATGAGTGGTGGCGAGTCTCTGCCTAATTCACTCTTCCCTGCTTGCTTAAAGCCGGGGTGTCCCTCAGGACTGGTGAGAGATGAGTCTGCCAGGGTTTCATCTATGCCTGATGCAGTTAAAATCGAATCGGGCTTAGTTGTTGGTACTGTGGTGGCTAAAAGGCTGGCTTCGGTTTCTTTCTGCATTTCTTCTGATGAAGCTGAAAATGCTGGTGGTGCAGGTGGACGACGTTCAGCTTCCCTTTCTGCTACCGACGAGGCTGCAGGAAGTTCCCTGCTTACTCTGGAGTCCTGCTTCACTCCTGTTTTCACTCCAGATAAAACCTCGTCTCTAGGAATAGATGTCTCCTCTGGAAGTGAATATGGTTTTGACACTTCAGGCTCATTCTTTGACAACATTCTGTGTCCTAGTTCAGAAGTCACAGTTGGAGCTAAATCGGGTTTGACATCCGCCTTTGGCTCCTCTACCGAGTCAGACAAAACTGAATTTTCCATCCCAGACCCTGGAACGTTTGGGGGCTGAGGCTCTGGTGTCGGATCCTGTGATGTATGTGCTGCGGCTTCTTGAGAACCCGGCACAGTTCCTTCCCTCCTGACTCTTGGCAAAGCCATCTGTTCCTGTGCAGATTTTAGAGTTAGTGATGCTTTGGGTTCCCGTTCTGTCTTAAGAACACAGGCTGACTCAGGTGGAACTGAGGACTGAGATGTGGGCAAAGTGGGCTGGGCTTCCTCCTTTGCCACTAACGACAGTGTGGATAAAGAAGCAGCTGCTGTAGCTGCTGCTGAACTACTCTCCACAACCCCCTTCTCCCATCCACTGGTTAAAGGTGGTGGTGATAACAAATCTTCAGCCTCTGGCTCCAAGGACACTTGGGTTTTCTGCTGCTGAGCCAGGATGAGATATTCGGATACAGATGTTGAGATTGTTGGAGCATCTGGCACAATTTCTGCTTGGCCTGTTTTATTTGCTGAAGGTGGCAGGCTCAGGTCATCGGGTACAGGCATGAATGGGAAGGACTCAGCCTCTTGTTCCTGTGATGGATCACACTGTTCGGGCTCAGGCGTGAGCACTGATGATGCTGACTCTTCCTCATCTACTGCAGAGAAGTAGGGATATTCTGGAGCAGATCTCATAGTTAGTGACAAGTCTGCCTGGACCTCGTTTTGCTGTGTTTCTGGGATTCTGTATGGTGGGATGGAAACTTGTGATGCTGAATCGGGAGAAAAAAGCTCTTCCGTGTCCTCATCTGACAAAACAGTATGCTCAGATGGTGATGTCAAGCACAGTGGAGAATCACGCCCCAGCTCTCTTTTCTCTATTTCCTGAGTCGGATAGGGTGAGAATGAGAATTCTGACACAAATGCAGAATCAGGGGAGAAGGGCCCAACATCTCCTTCTTCCTTCTCTTGCTCTGATAGATTTGTGGGTGAGGTGGCACCTTTCAGAAGCAGAGGGGACGTGTGGACAACCTCTTCCTCCTGGGACTCTGGTGTTACAGATGGTGTTGGCACTGAGCGTTCAGAAGCCGGTGTGGAGGAAAACGGATACCGCTGACCCGCTATGGTCTCTTCTTCCTGGGGGACCATGTGTTCAGATGTGGTGTCTGAAGGAAGTGGGATCTGGCATTCAGAAAGCATCTCAGCTGCGTGTGGTGGGACAGGGTGTGGCGCAGACACCACATCTGGTGAAGATGACCCAACATCTTCCTTTTCTTCTTCTAACAGAGTCACGGGTTCAGAAATGCCTTTGGGTTTGAACTGGGGCACACCACCAATTGTTTTGGGGGGAGATTCCTGTGTTTCATCTTGTGGAGTTGAGGATTTAAATGTCAGTTTTGAATCTGATGTGGCATGTTCTCTTTCTAGGTCCCCATCTTCCGATACTGCTGCATGTCTCAGTGTGGCAGCCAGGCGTTCAGAACTCTTCTCAGTTAGCGATGGAGAATGGGAGGATTCAGAAGTAGCATCCACTCTTGGCGGGTGTGGCCCCGTGTCCTCTCTCTCTTCTTCTGTCAGAATCATGGACTCAGAAACATCTTGGGACTTTAATGGGGGCTTGTGGTCACCTGTTCTCTCCAGCAACTCCTGTGCAGCGTGCACTGTAACTGAATACTCAGTAGCAGGTGCAGACCCTGGTGTGTGACACCTACTCTCTGAGGCCTCGTCTCCAGACAGGACCAGATGGTCTGGTGTGACTGGTGAAAAGAGTGGGGACTGGGATGCAGATGTCTTCTCGATGGTGGATGGAGAGAGAGAGTGCTCAGATTCAGATGCCACTGCTGGGGAATAAGACTCGCGTTCGTCATCATCCTCCTCCGAGAAAACTGCAGGTTCAGAGCTGGATTTCACATTAGCGAGAGAAAGTGCCTCAGCTTCTTGCTTCTCTGGTTCATGGTTCAAAACCCGTGGGACGGAATACTCAGATACAAAAGCAGAATCAGTAGAAACAGACTCAATTTCCTCTCTTTCCTCCTCAGAAAAAGAGACATGTTCAGGTGTAATTGACACCTGTGATGGTGGGATGGGCTCTTCTCTGCGCTCCACTTCAGGGGACCAAGGTGATGGGAAAGGCTCCTCAAAAACTAATGAACTTTCTGGATAATCAAGTTCTATGATCTCTTCTTCTAGACTAGAATCTTCGGGTTCAGTGGTATCGGTGATTTCCATTCCCTTCTCTAGTTCCTGTGATGCTCTGGTGGCAGGTGGCTCAGGCGCATGCTCCTCCTCTCTGTGGACTATAGGCTCAGGCGCATGCTCCTCCTCTCTATGGACTATGGGCTCAGGTGCATGCTCCTCCTCTCTATGGACTATGGGCACAGGCACATGCTCCTCCTCTCTGTGGACTATAGGCTCAGGCGCATGCTCCTCCTCTCTATGGACTATGGGCACAGGCGCATACTCCTCCTCTCTATGGACTATGGGCTCAGGCGCATGCTCCTCCTCTCTGTGGCCTGTGGGCTCAGGCGCATGCTCCTCCTCTCTGTGGACTATGGGCTCAGGCACATGCTCCTCCTCTTTATGGGTTATTGGCTCAGGTGAGGTCAGGTGTTCAAAGGTTGATTCAATCTTTTCTGCTGAAGTCGGCTCTAGCTCTTCCTTGTATGGCTCAAACCTTTCTAGGATGGATGGTGGCAGTCTTGGTGGTCCTGTCGGCAAAGGCTCTTCTGCCTCCCATGACTTGGAATGGTTGACAGAAGTCATGCCTTCCTGTTTTACATCAGCAGCTGAGCCTGAGAACACTGAAGCATCCTTCTCTGAACTTTCCATTCCTTGTGAGTCTGGTTCATCTTCTTCCTTTGCTTTTTCAAGGAATGTGGTTGCTGGTGTGCTGGGTGGCTCTCTCTGGGTTTTCAATTCATCAGTTGGATGCTGTGGTGCTGTCTGTAGAGGTCTTGGATGTTCTTGATGGGTTGTGTCATTTCTGGAATAAGAGGACAATGTGTGCTCGGTTGCAGACATGGCATTTAAGGGGGGATCCACATACATTTTCTTTTGCTCTTCATGACTAAATAACGAGGTCATGGACTTTGACCCTTTGGAGAGGGCACCTCTCCAGGGCGGAGCAAGCTCTCTTGCCATATTATCTTCTGGGCCTTGAGCTGCTAATTTACTTCTTTGGGAAACTATGTTAGAACCACTGTTGCTCAAATCCGGCTCTAGACTGATGGATGCATCTTTCCCTTTCCTGTAATGTATTTCCTTAATTACATAACCTTTTGGCAACGTCCCATAAAATTGCAGAGGAATCAATTCCTCTTTAACTGAATTGAACATCTTAATTTTGTATTGTACTGTTCCTATGTAGACTGGCCTCAACACTAATGGCTTGTGCTCTTTGTATATTGCCCCAGTGATGGGAGGTGTATTGGATGTTGCCTTCTTTCTTCTTGTTTTATCGTAAGTGCCAATAGGTGACTTCTCATTCTCAGTATTGAGCACTGAGCTTTCTGAAATTAAAGAACCATCTTCCTTGTTCGCCATAACATCTTGCAATTCCAGAGAATTTCGTTTTTTGCTGCCTTTCCGACGCAATGATGGAGAACCACGCTTGGACTTATGAGTTCTTTTCCGCGTCTTTTTAACTTCATCCACAATGAAGGAAACATTCCCTGGGGGAGAATTCAGGGCTGACCCTTCCAAGCTACATACACCAGAAGTTTGGCTTTCTTCTGAAGCCCAGGGAGTAGAAGATCTACTTGAATTGGTCTCCCAGATTATTCCGCTGTCTTCCTGTTGGACTGTTACCATGGAAAAGGAGGGGTCAGAGATGATACATTCCTGCTTGATCTTGCCCTCTTCATCCTCATCTGATAACCTGTAGTGAATGATATCAATAATTATATGTTAATATAATATAATATATAATATATATATAATATATAATATATAATAAAATAATATATTAATTATTAGAATAAGTAAATGTAAAAATATAGAAATCGATATTACCATCTACCTCAAATATAAGGCTCAACATAAAATAAAGTTAAAAAAATTAAAGTCAGGATGGCCAATGCAGTAACATATCTCGGACAGAATGACTCAACAGCCCTTAAAGGAAAAGTGAGGCTAAAGTTCATTTTTGCATCTTCTCTTTTCGGGGTTGCCCTCCTGGTCCTCCAACATTCCCCAGTCACTAAGACTTCCTTGGCTCACCAGGACCCTTGCTATCGCTCTTGAATCAGTGCTTTTTGATCCCATAGTTGCCACCAAACCCAGCTTTGAACCACCCACTTCATCTGCTTCCTAAAGGGCCAGAGGTCTGATGCTTGCCTCTTTTATTTGCCCATTCTCACCCTCTCCAATTTTCCTTCCAGAATGGCTTTATCAAGCATTTCATTATCACATTACTCATTAAATCTCAATAAACTCTTTATACTCGAAAGAGAGGAAGAGCAAACGCCTTGGCTCCCCAATCCCTATCTGACTTTATTTCCAAGTACCTGTTGCTGCCTCCTTTTACACAAGTAACTTCTATTATAACTACAATCATGTACCATGGAATGGCATTTGGTTAACTGTGGACTACATAAACAACTATGGTCCTAGGAAAGTAGAATGTTTCTGGGGACTTCCTTTTGCTAGTGTCACTGTAGTCATCATAGCTCAATAAATTACTTACAAGTTTGTGATGTCACTGGAAAAACACCCTAATACACTTCCAGTAGTATTAAAGCATAACACAATCACATAAAGTATAAAATACTTGATGATTGATAAGCTATGTTATTAGTTTATGCTACATTCTGCTTATTTTGGAATGTATTGCTAAAAACAACAAATACAAACAAACAAACAAACAAATGGCATTTGTTAGCACGTGAAAGACTGTGGGTGTAATTTCCAGAACCATAAAGAAATGTTTGCGTAAGGCTGTATGCCGTAGCATGATATGCCAGCAGCTGCCTGTCCCATATTTGCTGTGCCTCTTGGTTGCATCTGGAGACCAGAGGCAGTGTTGCCCCCTATCATCTAGTACCAGTACATGCCATGATGCTTATGGAACAATTAAATCACCACCTATTGCATTTCGTGGAGCATGTTCCTGTAGTTAGGTATCTAATTCACTATCTAGTAAATATTTCATGGGGACTCGGTTATAAGGAAGATAGCCAGATACCAGCCCACTGGGCCGCACTCTCCCCATCTGTAGAATAAGGATAATAATAGGATACATCATGGAGTGGTAAGGATTAGTTGGTACATAAACAGAATGCTAAGAAAACATGCCTGCTGGTGTTCAATAAATACTACTTGCAGTTGGGTTTTCCATATAATCTTTGACCCAGAAATGAAAGGCACCTAGACCCAGTTGTTTTCAGTGGTACAGATGTTTGTAAGGGCTGTGTGCTTAGCCTGTTTCTATTTACCTTCCTCGATGGCTGGTTCAGACTGCCCCTGCAGCTGCCATAGTGCCCAGCATCAGGCTCTGTGGCCCTTTCCTCTGGATTTTCCTTCTTCTCCTCCTTTGCTTTTGGTCTTTCTCACTTTGGACTGCTTCTCCACTCCACCATACCCCACCTCTTGTGGACATCTACATTCCATCTACCCAGCAAGGCATATGTTTAAGACCTGCTGTGACTACTCCTGAGCGGCCATGTTGGATATTAGCCGTGGCTTCATAAGCACTAAGCTGGAGGTTAAGACTCCGGGAGTCTCTTCTCCTAGGAATATAGCTATCATTTGAGATAATTCCAAAATGCTGGCTGGCCTGTTGTACTTTTATACAGCAAAAGAAACAAAACTATACAACTGCTAAGTGTAAATGTTAAAGTTAAAGAAAGTTAAAGTCTTTAAAGAAAGACATAACAAACTTAGGTACATTATTAACTTTTTAAAAAGCATAGCCTCTGCTCCTGTGACTGGCTCCAGACTCTGGACTACTTCAGAAACACCTGTGTAGGGGGCCTTGAGAACATATTGACACCTCCAACACCTCTGCAGATTCTGGTTTTACTGTTACGACAGCATCTGGGCATTGATATGTGTTTGCTTTAAAGCTCTGAGCAACTTCAGCAGGTGCACAGAATTGTGAAGCACTTGCCTGAATAAACCTACTGCTGAAACTTACACAGCAAGTTAGTCTTGCTTGCTCTGACCCCTTCCTGATGTGCTGGATTTCTCTGAGGAACAGGACTGGAAGTGACTACAGGAATGTCCACCTCCCTGTGCTAAACTCCAGCATCCCGGGATGTCACGGCAAAGGGCATGGCTGTGCTTAGCTCTTACCTCCTCAGTGACTAGCACAGTGGGACATTAGCCTCTTCCCTTGCTCCAGTCTGCTATAAATAACATTAAGTTCTGCAGATTCCTTTGGTGGAAAAGCCTGGGAAGAAGTGGGAAAGAATTCGTTTTCCCATTTTCCTGGCAACTCTGCTGTCCTTTAGTTGTTTTTGGTGGTAAACCACTACACTTAATTAGGAATTAATTTTAGGCCTAGACTGATTCTTATTTTTTTTCAGGCTCTTTTACATATTGAATTGAGGTTATTCCTCAAAATGCTCAACTCATGCTGTTCTTTCTCGAACTTGTCAACAGAAATAGGGTGGAATTAGAAATGAAGGTTATGCTACAAATTTGGGAGTCAGTGTTGGGAATGCCTGTGAATGCAGTAGCATTATAAAAGCAATTAGAAATTCAATTTAGAGTTCATTATTGATTGTAAATTCAGTGTACTCAAGCAGAGACAGCTTCATTACTAGCTAGAATGAGTTCAGGAGTGCTGAACAGAGCACCCAAAAGGTAGTAATAAGAAAACAGAGCCCTGCTGAGATAGATCCACCTAACCAATCACTGGTGTGTTCATTTACTAATTACCTCTACACTTAATAAACTTTTATTAAGTTTAGGTAGTAAGAAATAAAAATATAAAGACATAGGTCGCCCCCCATCCAACTGTAGAGGTCAAACTCAGGGCTCTAGAGGTGCATGCTGGGCAAGAAAGCTACCATGGACCTACATCTCCAGCCTGGGACCATCCTCAAGAAATTCAATATTATTAGGGGATTAAGGAAGGCCCAGTGAAGACAAGAGGGAGGTTTCTCAAAAGAGCGATGCTTTTGTCCAGAGCCAGTTTACAGAAGGCATGGGAGCTTGGGAAAGAATGAGAAAATGAGGTACTATGGATACAGTAGTTTATTCCAGGAAAGGGCCACAGTGTGGAGACTGGTATAGGAATAAGCAGCCTGGCTTACTGAGAGACTGTGTCGAATTACCAGAGATGTCTGAGTCACTGTCCTAGTGCTATAAAGAGACACTGTGACTACAGCAAGTCTTATAAAAGAAAACATTTAATCGGGGCTGGCTCACAGGTCCAGAGGTTTAGTCCTTTATCATCATGTTGGGGAGCATGGTGGCATGTAGTGCGACATGCAGGCAGACATGATGCTGGAGAAGTAGCTGGGATTCTTTATCCAGATCCATAGGCAGCAGGATGAGCAAGACACTGGGCCTGGCTTAGGCTTTCAAAACCTCAAAGCCCATCCTCAATAACATACTTCCTTCAACGAGGCCACACCTCCTAATCTTTTCAAATAGTGCCACTCCCTAATGATCTAGCCTTCAAATCTGTGAGCCTGTAAGGGCCTTACTCAAACCACCACAAGCAGCAACAGAGAATGCCTATCTTAGCATGTATTGAGCCATAACCCAAAAATTCATTTTGTTCTCCACCTAAAGAAACTGTGTTAACCGCAGAGAAAATGTCCCCAGGGAGCTCAGGAGCATTCCTAGGGTTGTTTCTCATTGTTCAGCACACTCTGCATCCAGGTATTGTCTGCTTTGCACAATTAAAGATGAAGATCATCTCCTCTGTTCCTCTTCCTCTGCATTCTTTCAAAGCAACTTTCTGATCGTTTCTTAGCCACATAGCCACATAGACTTAGGTAAGGGTGTGAGGTGAACACTCCTTTCAGAGTTAGGCAAGAGAGAGATTCAATAGGTGTGAGTCAGATCAAGAACACAATAGACCAATATCAGAGATGAACCCTGAAGGCTCCTTCTGAGGACTGCCTTATCTAACTAAGGAGGTTTCTTATTGTATTTGCTTAGACTGTTCTCTAAACATTATGAATCAATGTCAATTTCATTTTATGTGACTACAGACATGATCATTTTTTATCTTTTATGTTACTCATGTGAATTACAGTGACCACTACACAGAAACCAACCTTGATCTCCTGAACTGCATTCAATATGGATATGATGTTACATTTTGCAAATAATGCTGGATTTGCTTCTACTACATGTTTAGAAATTTTGCCGTTTTTATGAATGACACTGGACTGAAATATCCTTGCTTATAATGTATTTTTTCAAATTTCATATCAAGATCAGGTTGCTTCATAAAATAAATTGGAAATTATTCCTTCCTGTATTATTCTCTGCAGGAATTTGTTGCATTATTTCTTATCCAACTATTTGGTAAAATTTCGTGACGTTTTTCAGATCTGGAGTTTTTTTCATGGTAATTTATTTATTTGATTATGTATTTGTTTTGGTTTTTGGAAACAGAGTCTCTTTATAACTCGGACTCGCTTCCAACTTCTTGTGCTCATGTCTCAGCCTGAGGTGACTGGCATATACACTATGCCAGGCTCATAGTAAAGAGTTTTTATAAGTAACTTATTCAGTTACTTATAAATAAATATTCAGACCTCCGTAGGGGTTTATTTTGCTTACAATGTATTTACTTTAACTAACTTTAAAATTTGGGGGGGATTAGAATTGTTCATTCTTTGAATATCTTTTAAGTATTTATAAAACATAAATTTCTATCCATTCTTTTTTTTCTTTTTCTTTTTGTTACAAATAAAG